TCCGATCCACACCAGTCGACTAACACCCAGGTACCTATTTACTGTTAGGTGAACAGGGACAGCAGGTGTAAGGAAACATTCCCTGTATACTTTGTACATGTAGAAATAAAGATGTGATATTATTCTAACGTTTTTACCAGTGCCGGGGATCGAACACGGACGCTCAGTATGTGAAATGAGTGCGTTACTAAATGAGTCACAGGTGTGGAAAATACTGTATATATTTTCCGGAAATACGGTAATTTATAGGTAAATAGATGCCCTATATTGTATTTTTAAAAGAAGTATGTTATCGAAAAAAAGAAGAGACTCGCCATCTTGGTTTTGAATTTGGATTACAAACGTTGGTGTAATGGGAAGAATTTTTCGTGCTCTAGAGGTTAAAATTGTGTTGACACCTCTCAAATAGGAGGCAAAATTGGTGGATGTGCATTCCTGCATAACTTGAGATATCAGACGACTGGACAAGACAGCTCCAGGAACCTCAGATAAGCTCTCTAGATTTGTGTATAATTCTGGCCAGTGTTTTCATAAATTTAGTTAGTGAGGTTTTTCTGAGTATGATACAACTTAATATCCAGTCAAATTGGTGAGTGATATTAAGATATATTTTCCTTCTGTTAAGTGTATGTGTATTTATATATAATCATTTTTTAATTTTAATATACAGTCCACAAATTTATATATTTACCAACATTCCTGGTGATGTATATTTCATTTAATTAATGGGTCCAGAGCAACTTGTGGATATGACAGTTGTAGGTATCGAAGGGGGACATTTTTTGCGACCTAGGTGTCCCAAATTCCTACTTGTCTAACTGATAAATAATAATTATCTATGTTCATTTACTGTTATGTAAATAATGATCCATTCAGCTAAATGCAATTTTCCACAACAGGACATATCGATACCCGGGAGATGTTATAACGTCTTGTGTGGGGGTTCATGGTACCCTGTAGGGTTTACGTGCGGCCAACAGTAACAGCCTGATTGATCAGATCCTGATCCACCACGAAGCCTGGTCTCAGACCAGACCACGGGGGCGTTGGCCCCCGAAACCCTCTCTGGGTATATTAAATTGGAAGTGTCGACAACTTGCTACAAATATTTAAAATTTCTTATACGTGTATACTATTTATATTTAAAAAGGTTATATTGTCAAGGAGGATTTATTTTAGTGCTGTGTGATTGGTTTATTCAGCCATGATGAAGATTTACTGTGCCGTTATTACAATCCACAGCATGTGCACTCTGACTCCACTGTCCACAATCCTACCATACCTGTGTCCGACTTCTGACACAAGCATGCCACAATTTATACTTAATGAGTTGAGACCATTTATGGATGACAGAGAATCAGTTACAATTAAAGTGTCAACCTTAGATACATGGACTCATTTGAGTGCAATGAGTATGGCAAACAGTTCTGTTTGAGGGATGGAGGCCCATATTGTTGCGTGCTCTAATTTCTTTATGAGAGCTCTGTACGACAACAGCAGCACTACCAGCTGCACCAGTGTACGACAACAGCAGCACTACCAGCTGCACCAGTGTAAGACAACAGCAGCACTACCAGCTGCACCAGTGGATTGGTGAACAGGACCATCAACGTAAATAATTTGTGAAAGAGTGTTCTGTGTGACTAAGTTATCAATTCAGTTTAAGGCATCATGTTTGGCTCCAAGACGAAGCTTTGGTTGTGATTTAAGAAGAGTTTTGGAGGGAGGGGGGGATGGAGGAATGGTAGTTTGGAATGGGGTAATATCCCATGGAGCAGGGAAGTGCCTCTGTTGCCAAACTTGACATAGATCATGTAGATGGTTGATGCGAAAGTCGGTTCTAGTTTTTTCGATCCATCTGGAAGGATGTTTATCAGTGCTGAGGACTTCAGTTGAACTTTATTGACTTAAGACTTAGGGAGATTGAGACAAGTCAGTTCATCTGTCATCATTCCATCATGCAGGAAGAGCATCCAACAAGATAAGCAGACTCTTGGATGTCACTACCGCCCGGCTCCGGCTGGGTTACAAGCATCTTTGGCAGGTTAAATCACCACCACCAGATGTAGACCTAACGAAGTGTAAACTTTGCCAGATGGACTACTGTCACACCTTGCGTCATTATGTACTGGAGTGTGATCAAATTAATGATTTCAGAGACAACTCACTCAGAAATGTTCAAGAAATAGCAAAGTATTTTATCCACAATGGTATATTACAGACCATTCTGGAGAAATACACTCACTTGGCTAATGTTTTTTTTAATGTTCGTCCGGGTCTCGAACCCTGGACCCCAGTGGTGAGGCGTGACTCTCACCACTGGGCTGTAAATAAAACATTAACACGTGTGTGCGTGCGTGCGTGCTTGTGTGTGTGTATATGTTTGTACTCTCGTGTGCATGTGTCTGTGTCCGTGCGTACGCCCTCGTGTGTGTGTATGTGCGCACGCGCTCGTGTACTCACCTAGTTGAGGTTGCAGGGGTTGAATCCAAGTGCGTCCTCGTGTGTGTGTGTGTGTGTGTGTGTGTGTGTGTGTGTGTGTGTGCGCGTGTGTGCGTGTGTGCGTGTGTGCGTGTGTGCGTGTGTGCGTGTGTGCGTGTGTGCGTGTGTGTGTGTGTGTGTGTGTGTGTGTGTGTGTGTGTGTGTGCGTGTGTGCGTGTGTGCGTGTGTGCGTGTGTGCGTGTGTGTGTGTGTGTGTGTGTGTGTGTGTGTGTGTGTGTGTGTGTGTGTGTGTGCGCGCGCGCTGGTATGGGCGTATGATCCACTTAATATTTGTATTTATAACTCATTACAACTGTGACCGGGTATGAACGTGTCAGTGGCTCATTACTTTGTAATTTGTTCATGATTATAACCATGTATAGGAGTGTAGAGGGTTCATTACCTTTGTAACTTGGCCAGGATTGTGACCAGATCTACCTGGAGTTCATTACCGTTATAACCAGTTCAGCTATCATAACTTTGGGGTCCAGTCCCTGGACCTATTATGTACCTCTATAATCTTTTGACTATCGCCCACACCATGGGTATGGGGTGCATAATGAAGACATTAAGTTATTACAATCAAAACTAAGCGCTAAACCCACGAGGATCATACAGCAATGATGCTGGTAAAAGGTCATAATCATAGGGAGCACTAAACCCATAGGGATCATACAGCGCCTGGAGGGTTCTAAGCTCTCTTGAGTTGGATTATATCGGACTGTCGAGGTTTGTAACCTTGGAAGGAATTTTTAATGCCAGGAAGGGAGGGGGGGGGGAGAGGAGATTATAACACTTATGAAGCATTGTAATCTGTACTGTAATATAATGGGGGATTTATGCCTTAAATCCGTTTAATATTCGCAAAAACAAGAACCAAACCCGCATGGAGTCATACATTGCTTAAGGGGATGCTGGGTTAAAATGTAATTCCAAGGTGTCCCGTAGCTCGATTGCCAGCACACTCAGCTCACACACTCGAGTCCGTGATTTGATCCCCGGTACTGGTGGAAACATTAGGACGTGTTTACTTACGACACTTGTCCATGTTCACTTAGCAGTTAATTAGGTACCTGGGTGTTAGTCGACTGGTATGGGTCGCATCCTGGGACAAAACTGACCTAATGTGCCCGAAATGCTCTGCATAACCAGGGGCTTTCTAGATAGTATATCACTGATGTCAGCAAGGACTGTATACCTTGTACACGATTGCTTGTAGAAATAAAGATTATTATAATGCTCTGGTAGGGCATTATAATAATAATCTTTATATTTAGGTTAGTTTAATATCTTTATTATGCACCCAATCCCTATCATGTGGGCGGTAGTCAAAAGATTACAGAGGTATATTACGGGTCCTGGGACTGGACTCCAAAGTTTTGATAGTTGAACAATTTACAATGGCAATGAACTAGATCTGGTCACAATCATAACCAAGTTATGTAGACAGACACACTACTCTCACAGCCAGGTAAGGCTGAGGGGCAAACAAACCATACCACGGGCGTGGTTTGAACCTGCGGTCAGTCTCAAAACTCCAGACCGTCGCGTTTTGAGACTCTCTGACTGCGGGTTCAAACCCCACCCGTGGTATGGTTTGTTTGCAATCGTATCATTACGATTTCGTGAGTCAAGGCTGAGGGGTCATATAGTATCTGGGGTACTACAGTGGAACCTCGGTAATGCACAGCTCCGTACTCGAACAATTCGGTATTTGAAAGCTTGGTTTGGTAAACAAATCGCTCGGTAGTCGACCGTTTGCTTGGCACTCGACCAAACAACCACGACCTGCCAGAACTTCACTCTAAACTATTTCTTGATTCATAGCATTTTTTGGAGTTTTTTATATTATTTGTATTAATGTTATTTGTATAAATAGTGGAGGGAAGGCGGGGTAGGGGTCGGCCTAAGAAAGGTTGGAGAGAGGGGGTAAAGGAGGTTTTGTGTGCGAGGGGCTTGGACTTCCAGCAAACATGCGTGAGTATGTTAGATAGGAGTGAATGGAGACGAATGTTTTTTAGGACTTGACGTGCTGTTGGAGTGCGAGCAAGGTAATATTTATGAAGGGATTCAGGGAAACCGGCAGGGCAGACTGAGTCCTGGAGATGGGAAGTACAGTGTCTGTACTCTGAAGGGTGTTAATGTTGCAGTTTTATAACTGTAGCGTAAGCACTTTTCTGGCAAGACAGTGATGGAGTGAATAATGAAAGTTTTTCTTTTTTGGGCCACCCTGCCTTGGTGGGAGACGGCCATTGTGTTGAAAAAAATTGTATAAATAAGTCACCATGGGGCCTGAGAGGGTTAGTGATAACAGCCAACCAAAAAGAAAATTGGTTTGGAAAAATTCGTTTTGTACTCGAACAGATCGGCACTCAATCAGCCTTCTGGAACCAATTAAGTTCGAGTGCTTAGGTTTCACTGTATATGACCTGTACAGATCGGGGTAGGTCAGGTTCAGTTACTTGGATTTTGCAGTCATCTCTCAACCTACCACTACCTGATGCTTCCTTCCTCCACAGGCGGTACCCGCGGGTGGTGTACTCCATGCTTCGTCAGAGTGAGGACGAGCCTGAGGATGTGTTAGGCGAGATCCTCATCAACATTGGACTAGCTGCACCCGAGGACTCGAGGCCACTCACACCGTCTTCCTCAGAGACTTCTGATTCGCCGGATGTGTCTGACCATGAGGTGAGAGTGCGATTATTATAATCAGAAAGAAGCGCTAAACCACAAGGGTTATACAGCGCAGAGAGAGTGCAAGCGAGCGAGCGTTTACCCGCATTTTTATACAAGTTTTTCTTTTGCTTGACTGTTAGTATCGTTTCAGAAAAATTTGTTCTGCAGTTATCCTTTTGAATACCTGATGGGTTTAGCACTAGTGTTGCTGAATATCACTGTTGAAGACCAATGTGGTTTTTCACAAGACAGTGCTGGCATCTTGGACTGGATCTGTTCACAACCTTCAAGGTCAGTCAGTGCCAGAATATTATAACCTCATGTGTTTAGTCCCTCAGGAAATTTTTACATCCCTGTTCCCATGCTTAAAACAGCCTTGAGGCACATCAATCATCAACTTTGGTTGTATTTTCCTCAGTGTTCCAAAACATTTTTTTCCTAGCACCTGCACACTCCCTCCACCCGTTACTGCGAGCCAGTGCTCTTCCTCAGTAAATTTTACGTTAAACAAAAATTTTACACATCTTACCAAGAAAAAAATTGGCTTATGATTTTAGAGATGTTAAAATTTTCGGTATTGCTTAAAACCACACATGTATTATTTTACATATTAAAATGCAGATAATTTAAAAGTATTATGAGACCAATATTTACCTAACCTGTCTGTGAAAACTGTATATACATTTTTTTCAATATTTGTAGTAAGTAATTAATCAGACAAATAATTTTACTGTCACTTGCCAATTTCAGGAGAAAAAGAATTTGGTTTGAAGAAAACTTTGAGCTAATGTCTTTTTTTTGTCTTCAGTATTGCTTAAAATCACACATGTATTAAATAAGTTTATTCAGGTATACACAAATACAGTTACATAGATTATCATACATAGCAGCATATGTATAAAGTACCCAGGATAACCCCAAAAAGTCAGTGACTTATTTCCATTGGGGTTCTTTACTATTTGACATCCGGAGTAAACAAAGGATAATTTTAGCGTACTACACTATATGATTGACTTTTCTTAACCTAACCTTAACAAAAGCTTCACATACAAAGGTTTTTCACTTTGTAAAGTAAAAGGACACAAGTGCAACTAATGTGACATTTATTGTGGCAACGTTTCGCTCTCCAGGAGCTTTATCAAGCCATTACAAACAATACATGGACACAGAGGGTATATAAAGGCTCAGAGTGAGGTGCAATACTAGTGAGGTAACATTTCGATGTTCACTAGTGGTAGTAGTAGTAGTAGTAGTAGTAGTAGTAGTAGTAGTAGTGGTAGTGACAAAAGTAATACAATATGGTAGAGCAATTGTCCAACCTATTTTTATGTTACCCAAGTAATAGCTTTTATATCCTTTTACTCATGTACGAATTAATTGCTCTACCATATTGTATTACTTTTGTCACTACCACTACTACTACTACTACTACTACTACTACTACTACTACTACTACTACTACTACTACTAGTAGTAGTAGTGAACATCGAAATGTTACCTCACTAGTATTGCACCTCACTCTGAGCCTTTATATACCCTCTGTGTCCATGTATTGTTTGTAATGGCTTGATAAAGCTCCTGGAGAGCGAAACGTTGCCACAATAAATGTCACATTAGTTGCACTTGTGTCCTTTTACTTTACATATTGTCGGTAATTCTACCAACTTTATTGTTTTTTCACTTTGTTGGAAATAATAGAGCAGATAAGTAATTCTGCTGGCTGTAGGCTCACAGCTCTTGTAGACTCACAGCTCTTGTAGGCTCACAGCTCTTGTAGACTCACAGCTCTTGTAGACTCACAGCTCTTGTAGGCTCACAGCTCTTGTAGGCTCACAGCTCTTGTAGGCTCACAGCTCTTGTAGGCTCACAGCTCTTGTGGGCTCACAGCTCTTGTAGACTCACAGCTCTTGTAGGCTCACGGCTCTTGTAGGCTCACGGCTCTTGTAGGCTCACGGCTCTTGTAGGCTCACAGCTCTTGTAGACTCACAGCTCTTGTAGACTCACAGCTCTTGTAGGCTCACAGCTCTTGTAGACTTACAGCTCTTATAGGCTCACAGCTCTTGTCGGCTCGGCTCACAGCTCTTGTAGGCTCACAGCTCTTGTAGGCTCACAGGTCTTGTAGGCTCACAGGTCTTGTAGGCTCACGGCTCTTGTAGGCTCACAGCTCTTGTAGGCTCACAGCTCTTGTAGGCTCACAGCTCTTGTAGGCTCACGGCTCTTGTAGGCTCACAGCTCTTGTAGGCTCACAGCTCTTGTAGGTTCACGGCTCTTGTAGACTCACAGCTCTTGTAGGCTCACAGCTCTTGTAGACTCACAGCTCTTGTAGGCTCACGGCTCTTGTAGACTCACAGCTCTTGTAGGCTCACAGCTCTTGTAGGCTCACAGCTCTTGTAGGCTCACGGCTCTTGTAGACTCACAGCTCTTGTAGGCTCACGGCTCTTGTAGACTCTCAGCTCTTGTAGGCTCACGGCTCTTGTAGACTCACAGCTCTTGTAGGCTCACAGCTCTTGTAGACTCACAGCTCTTGTAGACTCACAGCTCTTGTAGGCTTACAGCTCTTGTAGACTCACAGCTCTTGTAGACTCACAGCTCTTGTCGGCTCACAGCTCTTGTAGGCTCACAGCTCTTGTAGGCTCACGGCTCTTGTAGACTCACAGCTCTTGTAGGCTCACAGCTTTTGTAGGCTCACAGCTCTTGTATGCTCACGGCTCTTGTAGACTCACAGCTCTTGTAGGCTCACGGCTCTTGTAGACTCTCAGCTCTTGTAGGCTCACGGCTCTTGTAGACTCACAGCTCTTGTAGGCTCACAGCTCTTGTAGACTCACAGCTCTTTTAGACTCACAGCTCTTGTAGGCTTACAGCTCTTGTAGGCTTACAGCTCTTGTAGACTCACAGCTCTTGTAGACTCACAGCTCTTGTCGGCTCACAGCTCTTGTAGGCTCACAGCTCTTGTAGGCTCACAGCTCTTGTAGGCTCACAGCTCTTGTAGGCTCACGGCTCTTGTAGACTCACAGCTCTTGTAGGCTCAAGGCTCTTGTAGGCTCACGGCTCTTGTAGGCTCACGGCTCTTGTAGGCTCACGGCTCTTGTAGGCTCACGGCTCTTGTAGGCTCACGGCTCTTGTAGGCTCACAGCTCTTGTAGGCTCACAGCTCTTGTAGGCTCACGGCTCTTGTAGGCTCACGGCTCTTGTAGGCTCACGGCTCTTGTAGGCTCTCAACTCTTGTAGGCTCTCAGCTCTTGTAGGCTCTCAGCTCATGTAGACCCACAGCTCTTGTAGATTCACAGCTCTTACAGGTTTATAGCTCATGTAGGCTCTCAGCTTTTATATAAACACAATGTTCATCCTATATAAATGTAAAAAAAAAAAAGTGAAGGAGAGGCAGGGTTCCAACATTTGCATACAGTATAACACCTAAACTCAAGTATAGATGAGATACGTTCTTAGATGCATGGTACGGTGTATAACATTCATTGTTTAATGCTTCCCCATGAATAATAAGTTCTTAATAGGTTCAGTGAATGTACAATTGGTAATTAATACAAAATTAGTTGTGCATAAATTTTTGACATTAGGGCTCATTTTGTGTTTCAGCAGCCATAACTTGTTCAATGTTGCTCCGATTTATCATTAAAATTAAGGGAAAGCACTAAACCTGTAGGAGTCTTACATTCCTTTGGGTAATGGATGGCAATCAGGCTTGATCTAAGGAAGGGGAAGACAGGTCCAGTTACTCTCTTAGAGACCCCTCACTGGCAGCAAGGAACCTCCCTTGAGTGGTTCAATTTGGTTAATAATGATACAATATTTAGATGAGGGTAACTACAGAGAAAAGAATTACCATGAAGAATATGCCAGAAAGTGACCAGGGAGAAGAGATTTGGGTATGGAAAAACCTAAACACATTTTGGGTTAAATCTTTTTTTTTTAATTAAGGGTCATATATTGATCCTTTACAAAGTAGATACTGTTGGGTAGTCAAAATATGTTAATTATAAAGTTCACAAATTTCAGGGCTCAACACATCTGTCCTCACTTATATCTACTGTTAATATCAGTGATCTCATGCATATTTACAGGCAATATCCTTATACATATTTGCAATCAGTATCTGTTACTTCATACATATCTACTATCAGTGCCTATGTCCTCGTATGTGTCTACTGTCACTGTCATACACCTGTCAATTCCTGTGACCTCATGCAATCTCTCTCCAACAGGTGAACATCAATGACCTTGATGGGTCGAAGTTCACTACGATTCCTTTAAGGGCAGACGAGGCTGCTAAGAGATTCATGACCCCAGAACCTGATGAGTCAGATGAGGTCAGTTTGCTACATACTGTTCATTGGTTAAGTTTTATGACCCATGGGCAACATTGAGAATTTAGTAGATCTAGACTCACCATGCATTGGATTCTCAAATATCCAAACTATACAGGGCAGAGCTTTGACTGGATACAGAACCATTTAATAACAGTCATCACGGGTTAAGTTTTTTGAGAGGAGTGAGGGCTAGGTTGGTGAACACATTTTCAAATAGAGCATATTATTTCAGTCGATCTAAACAGTTTAAAATTCCATATTACTTGCCCAGGTTGTACCAGTCAGCCTCGTCACGTCTACACCAAATGACCATATATCACAAAAGATTAATATATTTAAATAACAGAAAATATAATACAAAACAGTGAGGCGAGATGAGTGAATTATATCTATTATGGTGCAGCTGAGTTCCTCTTCTCCAGCAGTATCTCATTATGAGCCCATTGTGTATAGCAATATTTTCCCTATGAGTAAAGTGAGACCCCATAACCTCAGAGGAGAGACTAAGAGTAAGATGTGCAACAGTTGGGTATCTATATTGTCAAAATGTTGTGCCTACTCAGCAGGCTGTCTCAGTGGAAGAGGTGACTTACCAGCAAATATTGCGGGGTAAGATAAGATAAGATTTCGTTCGGATTTTTAACCCCGGAGGGTTAGCCACCCAGGATAACCTAAGAAGGTCAGTGCGTCATCGAGGACTGTCTAACTTATTTCCATTGGGGTCCTTAATCTTGCCCCCCAGGATGCGACCCACACCAGTCGACTAACACCCAGGTACCTATTTGCTGCTAGGTGAACAGGACAACAGGTGTAAGGAAACATGTCGAATGTTTCCACCCGCCGGGAATCGAACCCGGGCCCTCCGTGTGTGAAGCGGGAGCTTTAGCCACCAGGCCACCGGGCATAAAAATAAAGGTACTCGGCTTTTGCATGCATCTTACTCACCCACCTGTTAGTATTGTGTATCATTCAGTGAGATTATATAAGATTTGATTATTATAATCAAGGGGGGAGCGCTAAACACGTAGGATTATACAGCGCCTGTGGGGGGGATGGAAGGTATTCAGACTTAATTCAGGGAACTGGGGCACAGTTCCAGTTCCCTAGATCAAGAACCCCTCACCAGCATCAAGGAACCTTCCTTGGGAGGACATATAAGGTTTGAGAAAAGCTTTCTTCTTAATCCATTCTTGCATATAAGAAACAGTATAGAGGTAAAGGCATAATACTGACAGGTATGGATATAAAGTCAATATTCAGAACAAGCATTTTGCTCAAAGTTAACCAAACGTCATGTAAAGAATACTTTTTTACATGTACTGTATCCATGGAGAGTGAGGTGCGAATTATACACTAGGTACTGATGTGGGTAGTGGAGCAATGTAGTCAGCCCACTGGTCTATTATTTAGGTTTGAACTGTTGTTGGATTATTGGTCATGCAAGATAATGTGTGCCAAGGAAATTGATAGGATTAAAGCACCCTGGTTCTGATCAGTAGTCTCTTGTGCCAATGATCTGTGATTCCAGGTGCCATCTCGATCTGTTCCCTTCTTTAATAATGAAATCGACATTTTTCAGTGCCATAAGGTGTGTACTCACCTAATTGTGGTTGCAGAGGTCGAGACTCGGCTCCTGGCCCCGCCTCTTCACCAATCGCTACTAGGTCCTCTCTCTGCTTCCTGAGCTTTTTCATACCTCGTCTTAAAGCTATATATGGTTCCTGCCTCCACTACGTCACTTGCTAGGCTATTCCACTTCCTGATGATTCTGTGATTGAGGAAATACTTCCTAACATCCCTGTGACTCGTCTGAGTCTTCAACTTCTAATTGTGACCCCTTGTTTCTGTGTCCCCTCTCTGGAACATCCTCTGTCCACCTTATCTATTCCACGCAGTATTTTGTATGTCGTTATCATGTCTCCCCTGACCCTTCTGTCCTCCAGTGTCATCAATCCGATTTCCCTCAACCTTTCATTGGACATTACCCTGAGCTCCGGAACTAGCCTTGTTGCAAACCTTGGTACTTTCTCTAACTTCTTGACTTGCTTGACCAGGTGTGGGTTCCAAACAGGTGCTGCATACTCGAGTATGGGCCTGACGTACACAGTGTACAGTGTCTTGAACGATTCCTTACTAAGGTATCGGAATGTTATTTTCAGGTTTGCCAGGCACATATATGCTGCAGCAGTTATCTGGTTGATGTGTGCCTCCAGAGACGTGCTCGTTGTTATGGTCACCACAAGATCTTTCTCCTTGAGTGAGGTTTGCAGTCTTTGTCAACCTAGCCTATACTCTGTCTGCAGTCTTCTTTGCCCTTCCCCAATCTTCATGACTTTGCATTTGGCAGGGTTGAATTCAAGAAGCTGGACCACGTATCCAGTCTGTCCAGGTCTCTTTGTAGTCCTGCCTGATCCTCATCTGATTTAATTCTTCTCATCAATTTCACATCTGCGAACAGGGACACTTCAGAGTCTGTCCCTTCCATCATGTCATTCACATATATCAAAAATAGCATTGACCCTAGAACTTATCCCTGTGGGACCCCGCTCATCACAGGTGCCAACTGTGATCCGTCTTCACGTACCATGACTCGTTGCCTCCCTGTCAGGTATTCTCTGATCCATTGCAGTGCCCTTCCTGTTATATGTGCCTGATCCTCCAGCTTCTGCATTCTCTTGTGAGGAACTGTGTCGAAGGCCTTCCTGCAGTCCAGGAAAATGCAATCAACCCACCCCTCTCTCTCGTGTCTTACTTCTGTTACCTTGTCATAAAACTCCAAAAGGTTTGTGACACAGGATTTGCCTTCCGTGAATCCGTGCTGGTTGTCATTTATAATCTTGTTCTGTTCCAGGTGCTCCACCACTCTCCTTCTGATAATCTCCTTGGATTTGCATACTGTACACGTCAGAGACACTGGTCTGTAGTTTAGTGCCTCATTTCTGTCTTTCTTAAAAACAGGGACTACATTTGCTGTCTTCCATACCTCAGGTAGTTGCCCGGTTTCAAGGGATGTATTGAAGATTGTGGTTAGTGGCACGTACAGCATCTCTGCTCCTTTTCTAAGGACCCACGGGAAGATGTTGTCTGGTCCCATTGCCTTTGAGGTATCAAGGTCACTTAGCAGCTTCTGCACTTCCTCCTCCATTGTATGTCATAAGAGCATAAGAACATAAGAAAGAACACTGCAACAGGCCTACTGACCCATGTGGAGCAGGTCTGTGTTGACCCCCCCTGGATAAGCCCAATGACTCACCCAGTCTGGTCACCTCCACTCAAGGATGGAGCATGGCACCAGACCCAGCAGCACAAGCTAGTCAGGTCCAACTCAAACCCACTCATGTATTTATCTAACCTATTTTTAAAACTACACAACGTTTTAGCCTGAATAACTGTACTCGAGAGTTTGTTCCACTCGTCCACGACTCTATTACCAAACCAGTGCTTTCCTATATCCTTCCTGAATCTGAATTTTTCCAACTTGAAACCATTGCTGCGAGTCCTGTCTTGGCTGGAAATTTTCAGCACACTATTTACATCCCTTTTATTTATTCCTGTTTTCCACTTATACACTTCGATCATATCCCCCCTAATTCTACGCCTTTCGAGAGAGTGCAGATTCAGGGCCCTCAGTCTATCCTCATAGGGAAGATTTCTGATACATGGGATCATCTTTGTCATCCTCCTCTGTACGTTTTCCAGAGCATTTATATCCATTCTGTAATACGGTGACCAGAACTGAGCAGCATAGTCTAAATGAGGCCTAACCAAGGATATATAGAGTTGAAGAACAACCTGAGGACTTCTATTATTTATACTTCTAGATATGAAGCCAAGAATTCTGTTAGCTTTATTGCAAACACTAATTCACTGTTGTCTTGGTTTTAGATTACTGCTAACCAGAACTCCTAAATCCTTTTCGCAATCAGTAGTATTAAGATCTACATTATTTAGTTTATATGTGGCATGGAAATTTAACTGTCCAACATTTAGAACTTTGCATTTGTCAATATTAAACTGCATCTGCCACTTCTCCAACCATTGCATCAGTCTATTCAAATCATCCTGAAGTGCTCTAGTATCCTCAGTAGAATGAATTGGACGGCCTATTTTGGTATCATCAGCAAATTTGCTTATGCCGCTATTTATTCCCTCATCTATGTCGTTTATGTAAATTGTGAACAACAACATGCCCAACACTGACCCCTGAGGAGCATCGCTTGTGACGTGCCCCCATTCTGATTTCTCCCCATTTATGCAAACTCTCTGTTGCCTATTTTTCAGCCATGCCTCTACCCAGGAAAAATTTTTTCCTATTCCGTGTGCCTTAAGTTTTCTCAGTAGCCTCTGGTGTGGAACTCTATCGAAAGCCTTACTGAAGTCCATATACACAATATCATATTCATTACTATGATCTACCTCCTCAAATACCTTAGTGAAAAAAGTTAGTAAATTTGTAAGACAGGAACGCCCCTTTTTAAAACCGTGTTGAGATTCATTAATCAGTCTGTGCCTGTGAAGATGGCTACGAATTGCTTCAGCATTTATTGATTCCATAAATTTTCCCACTATGGAGGTAAGGCTTATTGGTCTATAGTTCGAAGCCAAGGACCTGTCACCTGCCTTGTAAATAGGTATTACATTTGCCATTTTCCACTTATCAGGCACTATGCCAGTTTGTAGTGATATGTTAAAAAGATTAGCCAAAGGTATGCTAAGTTCCTCTTTACATTCCTTTAACTCCCTTGCAAACAGTTCATCAGGGCCTGGGGATTTGTTAGGTTTTAGTTTCTCTATTTGTCTGAGGACCATGTCACTAGTTACCGCAATCGTACATAGTTTATTCCTGTTCTACATAATCCATTTCAGGAATATTGCTAGTATTTTCCTGGGTGAAAACTGAGAGGAAGTAGGTACTGAGAATTTCACACATATCCTTATCACTATCAGTGATCTGACCAGAGTTACTCTTAAGTGGGCCAATCTTGTCCCTAATCTTACTT